GTTCGTTATCTTGATTACACTTAATTTTCTTACATCTTCATCACTGAACATAAGGAATTGTACTGAGTCAGGGTCAACAGACGTCAGCTCAGTAAGAGCTGATGTACATCTAGACTTAAAAGCCATGCTAACTCTTTCTTTCTTCAACTTTCAACTGTCTGAAAAGAAAACAGTAATCCTGAGTAACTTGTTCAAAAAATTGTAATAAACTAAATAATATCTAAAAGCTCTATCAACCTTATTAAATTATAAAAATTGCGGTTGGAACGCACATTAAATAATTATTTATTCACGTTATTGCTTAATAATATGAACTGTAAATAATCTTTTATACATTTTTATAAAATTTTATGAGAAGGAAGAAACATTCGTACATATAAATGTCAAAGCCACATGGTGACAATTGACAAGCACAGATAAATAATTTTCTAACTTACTTCACGGCTCTGGGTTCTAGCCCTTCTGAGCCACTGATAAATAAACAGCGTGACCACCATAGAGGATAGAGGTGACTAATGTTTAAATTATATTTGATAGTCTATCTACTAAAGAGAGCAGCAGAATATACTAAATTCTACTAACTAAAAACCGCTTTCTACCCAATAATTACTAAAATATTAGCCACATTAGAGGCGTTTTTAATTCATAATACATACATTATCACTTAATTGCATAGTAAAATATTCATTGTTTAATATTTGGTAGACGTAATCAATAACAGTCATAAAACATTAAATGAAATAATCTCAATGGCTCAGAACATTTACAAAACTGAACTTAAGGTTTCGCGAATAATTCCCTCTTATTTTTGAAAAGAATTTTTAAGGGTGGTCTTAGAATAATAACTAATTTCTCTTCTGAGTGCTGTTTTTGGGGGTCCTTACCAAATATCTGGCAAGCAGTCTTGATGACTTCCAGCCTCCCGAAAAGTTTTAGTACTTAGACCACATATATATCTTTTGTCAAATTGTACAGAAGATTGAAGAGTACTATCTGAATTTAGTCTTGCGTAAGTCAACTATGACAATGCCTTTGATTCCGCTGATATTTTAGCGATGCTACAGTCCCTTAAGCGATAGCTTGACTGCCAGTATATCGAAGTGCTGAAGTGTTTGTATTAACGCATCGTTGGCTACCCGGGTATAGAACCAGAGTACAAAATCTATCTAATTATAGAAAGGTGTAAGACAGGGTTGCACTATATCTCCGAAAAAGTCCTCACCGCTCCGTAAGAAGATATTTTCAAGCTACTAGACTGAAGAAAAGCTACGTTACGATCATCGATAATGAGTACATCACTTACCTTCGCTTATTTTGCGTCTGGTTATTTTCATTGTGGGAGAATTGCTAGAAGACCTCAGCACTATTCTAAATAATATTAATAGTGGCTCCCAAGAGATAGATCTAAAAATGAACATTGACAAGACAAATGTATCAAGACTTATGAATATATGACCCAAAAATATTTGAGTATTTATACTCTTTTTGTCCTCTGATTTTTGGCTTTAAAGTTTGTAAAATTTTATCTACATTTCCAAGAATTCTTAAGTAAAATACTCCAATTACACACGAGCAAAAATTCAAATTTTGCTTTAAAAGAGATGTAGTTTAGCTCCCTTGACTTCACATCAAGAAAAAAGTGAGCAGATATATTTTTAAGTATCGATCGGCAGGGCCACTGGGTAAGGTCGCGGGCCACTGCGATACTGGCAAGTTCTAATGTGAACAGTTATATCTTTTTCATTTTGTACACCAGCTATATTATTTAAAACGTGTACGGATCAAATCGTTATTAATTAAGCTATATATATATTTGTAAATGAATCAGTGCAATTCTACTTTTATAGAAATTACAATCTTATTTCAAAATTGAGTGACGTAATGTTTGCAGGTTTCTTGTGCATAGAGGGTAAGGACTAAAAAATTACACCATTTTATAAAAAAAGTATTTGTTACATTTTCATAAAAAACAATATTCTATCAAAAGAGATTCGAAAATTACATCTGTTTCGAAAAACTCCATATTTTTCACACCTTTTAAAATCTACCTCCTTTTAAGCAACAAAAAAATGACAAAAAACCGGTTTATACTCACAGAATTCTGAGAATCTTTTAGATTCTCAGGCTTCTATTCTTAGAATCTAAAAGATTCTGCGAGCTCTGAGAGTCGAGTAGCTTGAAATAACAATTCATGTTTAAGTTTGGCTCAAATACTTATCACAAAAAAGGTACTATTTCATAATTCCTATAATTTATGGACATAAAATAAATAACATAAAAATAATAGCTGTAAGAGGCCCCCTCAAAATACGGATTATAGAGCATTTATATTCCACATGTCGATGAAGTAGCAAGTACAAAATATACTATAAAAAGACATCACTTATACAAAAAAAAATTCAGACATTTTCAACAAAAACAAACAATTTCTACGCAAAGTGCAATATGAACAGATAGTATGAAGTGCTATCACATCTGAATAATAATTTTATTTTTTCAAATAAAATGTGATTATAATAACTATAAATTTAAAATCATTAGGATTAGAGAGTATAACATAAATGAATAGGTTATTTAACTGTATAAAAAAGGAAGTTCGCAATTCGACATGTTATTCAATTATGTATTGTTTGAATGTAAAATGTGATTAGATTAACTATAGATTTTAATTCCATTGGGATTAGATTGTTAATAAAAAATTTCTTCGTCCCGAAGAGACAGAAGAGGACGAGGAGACTGCTTACTGACTCCACTGCCACTTGGTGATGACGTACTCCATTGACCATATTCCATAGACCTGTAACAAAATCAGTTTAGTCGCTTTTTAACCGGCTTCAAAAAAGAGGAGTTTCTCAATTCGATTAGATAAAGTAGTTTTTTTTGTATGTAGGTTACGCGTTTTCTTTGCAGATTGTGAACCAATTTTGACTATTCTTTTTTATTAAATAGGTTATACTTCAAAGATGATCCCACATTAATTTTGAGAAAAAAACCCGTAAAGGAAGCAACTAAATAACTTTTTTAGCAATTTAAATTCAGTTTTTATTTTTGTTAAAAGTTATAATTATTGATTCTAGTAAGATATACACCGATAGACGCTACTGAGAATAGTGATTTGATATGAGTTGGGGAATGATTACAATGAAGATATATAAATAGAAAAGAAAGCAACTTACATTCCAGGAGATGGTGGCAACACTACAAGAGGCAGTTGTAGTTTTTAAAGATACCTATACGTCTTTTGGTGCGTTTCGCAAAAATGGTGAGAGTAAATTTTTCGATGCGCGCGCACACCGACACCTAAAAACGACACCATGATGTTGTTACAATACGCGCGCACACTGACGCCTAAAAGCGACAATTTCAGTGGATAACTTTTTTGTCTTGTTACGTTATAAAAGTATAACTTCCTACGTGTGTACATAAGTACACAAATACTTTTTTTCTATACGTTTGAATAATGTGGTGTGCTTTCGTCCGCGGTTGGTGCCACAGGTCGTGGTGCCTCAATATGGGGTCTCAATGAACAACAATTGAAAATAAAACTATACTTATTAGTAATAATATAATCCGAATAATATCATAATATTAGTAGGCCATCTAGCAGTGTCTAAATATTGAGCATAACCAACCATATGTAATATACCCAAAACATAACCATTTATTATGATTTATTACATTTACAAGTTTCACTTTATTTGGCAATATATTTTAATTTGTTATGCTCCAAAGACTACATAATATTTGCGTTTTGCTAAGCTCCTACAGAATTTCAAATTAAGAGCTGGCCACACTATCAGTCAGTCAAGTCAATAGAGATGAGTCGTACTAGGTAAATTTTGTACTAGATGCACTTAGTCCAATTCCTTACAAATACTCGATCCAAATACCTGTTCCACCCAGTCCATGTAGTACGCATAAAGTTTGGTATTGTTGGAATAGCTTACACATTAAAGTATGCTTAGTCTTTACGTACAGCCGATACGTGAAGATAATGAATAGTAATCAATCATCCATTTATACTTTACAAAGGCTTAGGACTGTCACCGTTAAGATATATCTACGTTCTAGATTGTTGGCGTAAGTATAAGGTTTCAATTAATTTTATTTGAGAGAAATCCGATTTATTACTTTTTTTTCCGTTTATCTTTTAATTATTTTTGTTTCGTTTTTTTTTTTAATTACCTGTCTACAATCATTGTTTTTATATACACGCAAAAAATCAGTCTTAAGAATTTTAAAAACTAAGTTGTATTTTACAAAAATGTCAAACTCAGCCATTTTTTGGCTTTTGTCCGTAAAATGATCCCAAGCGACACTGCTTCCTTTGGAAGCCATTTTTTTTAAACAATAAACACTAATGTCTAAATAAAAAATGAATCGAAAGTTCTTTAACCACATAACAAAACGTTACGAAAACCTGTAGCTAAATAAGTCTAGTAGGTATCAATACGGTGCCGAAATCACATTTGCATGAGTCCGTACTAGACACTTGACTGCATCATATGGTCTCCAATCTCCATTCGCATTGAGTATTTACAAGTAACTGGTGTATAAAATCTGCCTAGTATTTGGTTGAAGTCCCCGGGACTAGTCCCTTCTAGTCTCGAGTATTGACAAACAAAGATAGAAAGACTGCGGATTAGTGTAGTTAAAAATGGACAAAATATATTGTTAGACAACACGAGTGCGCGTCGCGTTACTTTTATAACCATTGAAATACAAATTCAAATGACTGACCATGAATGATTTAGGCAAACACGAGTGAGCGGCAAAGCAGACTAGTAACTACGGCAACAAAATGCTATCTCGCTTCGCCCCGCCGGTACTTGTTCGATTCAAGCGGGCCACCGCGCCAGTGCCGTGAGACGCGTAGGCACAGTGAGACTAGGTGGATCAAGTCTTTTAAAAGTTGGAACAGGTGCAACCTAGTCTCGTTTAATACCTAGTGCCTGGATCTATTCTAGTATATACGCTTCATCTCTACAAGTCAACACAACATGGCGGCTCAAGATGAAGTTGACGTATGTGAAAGTTGGGAAGACATGGACGATATTGGCGTAAGTTTTCATGCAATAAAACTTTTAAGAATATCGTACCTTGGCGCCGGCTACCAGTCACCTTTTTGCACAAAAAAATCTTTGTTTCAGTTGGACAACAAAATCAAACTGATGTCCAGTGTTCCAGCCCCTGTGAAAAGTACATTAAAAGGTTGCAAGGTTACTAATGTAATAGTAGAGGAGAACGCGTGTATCGGTTCTCAGTGCATGATGCCGGAGCCAGCTATTCGGATCCTGAAACGACCTTCAACTCTGGCGAGTGGCCAGCTCAACGGAGAGAGCCGCGCTCGACCTGTAAAGACTCTAGAACAAAGGCAAAAAGAGTACGAACAAGCCCGTTTACGGATATTAGGTGAAGCTCGAAGCCCAGAGGACGTTATTGACGATAAGTATGTAATTTTATAGTATAAGCATTAATAACATATGTATTTTATTGTCAACTAGTGTTACTATGATTTGGAAATTTCTATTTGCTGTTGATCTTTTAATTTTCCTTAATATCAGTGTTGATACAATTTCTTGTGTAAGTTTCATATACAAACTATATTAGTTGTAAATCTAAATGTAAGTTATTGTTTACTTAATTTATGAGGTAAACTAAAATTATTTCAAGTCACATGGTGCTAATTGCTTGAGGAACCCTTGTATCCTACAAGATTGTATCTCTAAATATTGTGGTATTACTATACTACATACAAATATAAAAATTGAGTATCATAATTTAAATTAAAAATTTTGTACGGCTGACTTCAATATAAGTTATTAAGAATAACTCAAAAACTATTGGTCTGACCTTGATCAAATTCATGTGGGATCACACGAGATGTATCAGCTTTCATATAAAAAAATAATCATCGAAATCGGTTCACCCAAAAAGTTATGTGGTAACACATATAAAAAAAAACAAAAAAAAATACAGTTGGATTGAGTACCGTCTCCTTTTTGGAAGTCGGCAGAAAATGGACAATCTTTACTCTGAAATAACAATATTACATGAAATCTTTGCAAACATTTGTAGTGAGTTTACTGACAAAACTTGAAAATTCATTCTTGTTTTCTATTTCTGCCACTTTGGTATTCATTTGATTTACATTAATTTATAAATTTAATGTGATAAAGCATATGAAACTTTTATTTTAGACAAAATATTGTTAAAAAATGCAAGAAGTGCCAAAAATATAGTTTTTATGAAAGTCAATAAGTAATAAATATACCTTGTCATTTTTGCTCTTTTTATTAAATACTATATTTTTTTGAAGTGTACTATAGTTTTTGTAGCTTATTTTGAAAAAAATACTATATTTCGCTAAAGAATTGTTGGCAAGCCTAGGTATAAATCATTCTTCATTCACTACATTACTTTTTATTTTTAACTACTCTATAAAAAATTCTGATAATATCATGCCAGTTTTCAATCCATTTGGTTAATTGTACTATATTTCAATGTAGCTATCAATGTTAAGCCTCATCAGTTTAATTCTATATTTATTTAAGACGATTGGAGAAGAAAAACAGCATGGTATTAAAAAACAAAAAATAGTTTTATAAAAAAAAAGTTAAATATTGATCTCAGACTAAGAAAGATAGACGGAGTGCTGTATACTCAGATGCATATCTTTCTTCTTACAGTTTGACCCGGTTGCAAGAAAAACTCCAAGCAAACAATATAAGTGATGCTCAAAACACTGGCAAAACAAAAAACAACTGTCATAATGACACCAACACCAAAGGAAAAGAGCGTAAAGTGCTTGTACGTTTGCCACCAGGAGCTACGGCATCTGGAATTTTCCCATCACCGCCACCTCCTGGTGTTCTAGTCATTAGAACTCCAAGAGGACCAGATGGTACAAAAGGTTTCCTACGGAGGTAGCATTAGTATAATATGTCATAATCCAATGAAATATCTTTCTTGCATTAACTTGTTAAGTATCCATCGATGAGACTCAACCATGAATATGTCTTCTAAATTTTAATTTTTAACTGATTGTCATGACTGCAATGTTGTGTTCAATATATTGTTTCATGATTTCTTAATTATATATGTGCTGTAACATAGAAATTAATGATAAATTATTAAAGGGTTTGTTTTTATTTAAAAAAAAATATGTAAAATAGGGTTAATATTCGGTTACACATATTATTTTTTGAATGAGTACAGAAATAATTTTTTTTTTTGCAAAATAAGTTTTTAACTATGTAATGTGTAATTGTACATATTTTTTGGGTGTTTGTGCCTACTTATGTAGATTAAAGGAAAAATCACATTACAATCTTAAATTTTGTTTCATACAAAACCTATTTATGTTATGTATGAAACAAAATTCATTCATTATATGTGTAATAATTAGAAATCATGAAACAAACAATCATTAGTAAATTAAGAGTGCTCATATGGGGAACAAAGTTATTGTAATAATATGATACAATATCTTAGTAACATTTGTATAGTAACTAGCCATCTAGTTGCCAAGATAGGCACTTGAATTCAACTCGTCAAATTGATTCAATGTGCCAGGACATAAATGAAGTATTAATACGATTATTCCCATCTATAAGTATCTAAACAATACTAATGATCTACATGATCTTATATCAAAAGCATGGAACTTAAATTTCATGATGTTAATTTTAACATCATTTAAGATTAAATTTTTAACAGCGTTAATATTTATTGCATAATTAACTTTGCAAACATATGTATGTGTATTGTTACTTTGTTTTGAAAAGTAAGTCTGTCCCTGTGCTTGTTTTTAATCATGTTCCCCGTTGTCAATCTGGGAATTTTAGGTCTATCTTTTTAAAAGTTCATTGGACAAGATGTGGTGATGGATTCCCCTTACATTAATTGAACTCCTCCCATCCCTTTACATTTACAGACCTATCACAAATTACAAAATCAACTAAACAATTGCTTGCTCAGATCAACAATCAAACTACATACAACACTCAACTAATGTCGAAATTATGCTCGACTTATTGTGAGAACATGCTCAACTCACAGACAACATATGTACCTAAAACCATTATTTTTTTATAGGAGAAGGGTGACAAGAGAGCACACAGCCCATCTGATTTTAAGTGGATGCTGTGGCCCATAGACATCTACATCTTCTATCCTCAAATAAGAATTAAAATGCAGATGCATTGTTACCCCTGGGGACTAAAATGGAATATCTCATAACCATTAAATAGGGTCTCAAAGTTCCCTACACTCACCATACGAAACAAAGCAGCATTAAGCTGCTATTTTACGCTGGTTTTCTGTGAGTGTGGTCCTTCCCCGGTCGAGCCGACCCATTTGTGCTGCAACCGTAATATAGTTGCAACATTGCTTAACCACATAATGCCATATTGCAACTATATGTTGCATTTGTAACCAACATCTCATGGTTAGGGGCATATGTGTGAAAGAGTGTGAGTTCTTACACGAAGTTGGGAGTAGTAGTGCTTTGTGTTTTGTTGGTCTGATTTGCCATGATGGTAAAATGGTTATTTCCATGGAGCATATTATACAGAGAGAAGGTGCTCCAAGCAATTGTTTTCCCCATTTAATAAGTTCTAATCTTATACTTGTGAGTGTGGTCTCGAACAAACAGTCTTGTCCAGTGCAACCACCATAATTTTTTTTACCCGCCTTCCACTTATAATCATTGAATGCTGATTGCTGATAGAAAAAATTTCAATATGTCGTCTAGAAACATCTAGTACAATATATATCTTAACCATAACATAAACTAAGGGTTTACCTTTGGCTATTGGCCGCTATATGAAAAATTTAGAAAGATTAAATGTCCAATTACATTTTTATGTAAAGTTACATTATTATATAATATTACAGTTACAACACTTGATAGAAGGACTGATTTTAACAACTTAAACCTTGTACAAGTACTTTAACAAGTTAACTATGTAGTGGCAGTGTAAGAATATCCACTACCCCTTATTCCATGAGTGTCCTAAGAGGCCGACAGAGGAATACAAATCAGGAGATGGGCATCAGCATCTTCCTAATAACGGCTAAAAATAAAAACCTCCGTTTGCCAACTCGCCTCCCTAGTGTGACAACTATGGCGAATATCCCACCTATAAGGCAATCTATGAGGTCTATGTTCAGCAGCGGACTGTAATAGACTGTGACTGTAAATGTGTACCTTGTACAAGTGCAGAGGACAGATGAAAGTTTGGCAACCGTGCAAAATACTTTGTTGGTTTTTGTTTTATTATATTTTTTAGAATAAATTATTAGTCAAAGAGAAATTTCGACTTATTTTCAAAAATAATTTATATCTTGATCTTAATAATTTGAAAAATAGCTTTTAGTTGTATTGCATGCGAAAATTGATATTGAGAAAAAGAACTGACGGCACAATGTTTCATGTTAAATATGTATTTCGATGGATTTAAGTTTTCTGATGAATGTGAACAAAGCGTACTCACTTACTGATTAAGCTTAGATTATTGTGAGGATTGTGATATAGAAATAATTATTGCAAGCCTTATCAATTGTAATGTTTATACATATGTAGTTATATGATAACTTTAAGTTAAAGTTGAAAATGTTTCAACAATGCCAATTGTGTGTATGCTGATTTTTAGTTTATTATAATGTTCTGGATCTCGAACAGTGTAAATGGAACTGAAATTTAATTTTTTTACAGGAAACATTGTAATGGTTTTATATACATATAATTTTGTAGCGTTGAAATTTGTTAAATTGCATTACAGTAATTCTTAAAACGATTCTAAACTTATTATTTATCATTCTACTACTATAATTGATGGTGCAGATTATGGCACTTATGACTTTGATTAACTGAAATTACACTGTTCGAAATAAAGCTAATAATAAATATAATTATAATATCTATCTCAGCCCACACACACAATAATTGCAATTGTTTTTTATTGTATATAATTGTAATGCATTTATATTTTGTAGAAAGTGAGACCGCACTCATTTTTCGCATCATAGAATGCTTTCTTTCTGTAAACTCATGTTAAATTTTAATTTTAGACACTCGATATTCCAAAGATAATATAATTGAAGTAATTATTGAAAAAATTGAACTAAAATTAACGAAAATGTAATGAAAACTTGTTTTTGAAAATTGCATGGTTTTGTAGTGCGGTTCACTTCATTGAGGCATACATTACTTTTAACTATGGAGAGCTTAACAAGTTTAAACAATAATGTACCTATTTTTGTAAATAGGATTTAAAATTTTATCTTTACAATGATAAGAAGATATATTTTTACATCATGACCATTTTAAAATAATTGTAAATATAAAAAGGAATGTAAGCACATTTGTATGTATTAGGTTTTGTTATAGAAGTTGCTTCAAACTTGTAAACTTTTTTTTGTGTACTAAATTTGTTTAAGGGAAATCTTAAAATACTGTTTGTAGATATAATTTTATAAAATACGGCTCAGTGTTGACTTTACGAAGTAGTTTTGTGCCAATGTATATAATAATTTAACAAAAAATTTGAACAGTATATGAAGTTTCTAAATTTAAACATTGCAGATTTATTAGCTGTACGGGACTGGTTTTGGGGTTCGTTATAAATTTATCGAAGAACGTAAAAACAGTACCTGACCGACAATCTATAAAATAACTAAGGGCCGATTTTACAATTGTCAGATGAAATTTGTTCGTAAATACACCATAAACAAATTAAAAATTATTAGTTGTATGAATAGAATAGTTTAATTATATCACTTTTATACTCAATCAGGTTATAATGTATTTCATGGATGACTTTTATCTGATGATTTAAAAAATCTGCCATTTTTCAAAAACATTTATTACTCCATTATGATATAACTGCGTAGTTTATTGGTCCAAGTATCTGATTGTGTAGTAGCCAGTGTCAATTTATACACAAACGTATTTTTTCAGGTTTGTGGTACTGTATTTCTTATCCGCTCTTTTTTTTAAATAATTAATTTTATTTTAATTGATACAATTTGGCATACAGTTCACCTGATGGAAAGGGGATGTAGCCCATAGACATTCATCCTCGATTGAAAATCGAGATGTAGATGCGTTGGCACCCCTGAGTACTAAGATACCTTGTTACCAGTGGTAACAAAGTGGTGCCAAAATTATCTCTGGTTCTAGTCACTCACCACACAAAACACTGAATACTGTGAGAGTGTGGACCCTCGCCAATCAAGCTGACCCATTCGTGCTATTACCATAAAATTTTGTCTTTCCTCTAAATTATCAAAGTTTCTTTCATTTATAGGTTACATACTTTAGCAGGAATAAAATGAATTTTTGAAATTTATTATGTTTATTGAGTTACTTCTAGGAAACTGCTGAAGTGAATTAAATAATTTATATGTAGAGGTTCTATTGTACTTTTAGATCCGTCACATTCCTATAGCATTCGAATATATTTAATTTTTGCGGCGCGGCTCCTGGGTAAACGCCCAAAAATTACTGGCAGCTCTATTCACCTTAATGGTGTCAACGGAGGCCCTTTTTTTGGTAATGTGGCATTCTATCTTAGTCCTCAGGGGTAAAATAAAAAATAATTTACTAATCTATCCAGAAGTGGTGTACTATATGTGGTAGAGCCATGCTGCAGCTGTATTATGGTTGCACCACAAATGGGTCAGCCCGACCACAGTGAGACTACGGTCTCAGAATACCGACGTAAAAGAGCAGTTTAATGCTGATGTGTTTCGTATGGTGAGTGTAAAGAACCAGAGACCCTTTTACTGGAAACGAGGTATTCGATCGTAGACCCCACCGGTGACAACATATTTGCGATTTGATTGTTAATAGAGGAACAATGTTGGTGTCCATGGGCCACAGCACCACTTATCATCAGGTGGACTCTGCATTCGTTTGTCAACTT